CGAAGAATCAATCTAAATTCAATAACATTAAAAGACTTTATCTAAATAATATATAATCATACTGAATGTTTTTTCGGCGGTACAATAAAATCTTTCACAGCTTTTAAATCTATAAAAATAATTCCAAAAATAAAAATTTAAACAATCATTATTCTTATTATACCTGCTGCATTTTTACTGGTTGTTAAATCGATAAATGTTAGTTGACTAACAATCGGTGTAATATTCTTAAAAGAAGAAATATAGACTTATTTCATTTTCTTTTCAATTTTTACTTCTGTATGTTCTGATTTTCGTGCTTGTACAAGACGTATCGTATATAAACGTGTTGAATTCTCTTTTGCAGGTATTTTAGTTGTATCAAATAATTTTCGTCGTGTTTTACGTGCATCATCAAATTCAATTTCCATACATGTTTGAGGAGTTTCAAGAGGCGTATGATTAATACCTTCTGTAAACATTTTTAATAAATCACTTGTGACTGAATGTGATTGTGTTGAATTAATTTCCATAGCCGAAACAAATATTGTATAAACATAATCATCATCAATACCAGATACATTTGATGTTTGATCAAGAATTGATCTTAAAATGAATTAAAAAAAAAAGACTTCCCAATAAACGAAAAAATCCTATTTTCTAATGACTTACTTTTCTAATATACTTGTATGTGTAATATTTCCAATAATATTTTTGCTTACTTTTGGCAAAAGATCTCGTTGATGTCGATCAAACATAGCTTGAGCATCAGATTGAACTTTATAACTATTATTACCCATAGGTCTAAAATACTATTATATTTAATAGAATAGTTTTTGAAATATTAAAATAGAAAATTCTAATCTTTACATATTTTAATGCACGATGTTCACCAATACTATTATAAAGTGCATTGATTGTTAAAGATATAAGACCAGTATCTTTTGTTTCACCAAATAGAATATCATTACGATATTTTTTATTTCGACCAGTAACAAATAGAAGTGCTAAAAGAAAATTAATTGAATAAAGATATTTTTTTTTGGTATTTATTTTACTGCTTCGCCCTCGAACAAGATCAGCAATAGCTGGTCGAGCAAATCGATCATATATTTCACCATTTGTACCTTCACCCCATATATGTTCAAAATGAAATGCTGGCTAAAACATTCAAAATTTTCAATTAATAAAATCAAACATTCGACTTACTTTATCATCAAGTAAAAATTGACTTTCATTATTTCCAATAATTTTAAATGTTTTTTTATGTTCATGTTTTCCTAATTTAGGTATATTACAAAAAGTCTTTAAAATACAAAATAAGATAGATATTTATTTTGCTATGTGATCTATATTACTTGAATTGGTTTTGCTCGTAAATCATATGATGTCTTATTAAATGCTGTTTGCATGATGGCTTTCTACAGAAAATAAAAAAGCGATTTAAACAAATCGACGGAGAAGCTCATTTAGAAAAGAATAGATAACGAAAAGTAGAAAGAGAAAGAGAGATCGAGGGATATATATATATGTATACATATGTATATGATAGATACAACGAATAACGAGATATCTTTTCGATAGACACGTGTCTTAGAGAATAAAAGGGAGCATTGTCTTGAGATATGTATTTATTTCGATTTAGTAAATAGTTTATGAAAAGTAAATTTATTCTAATTATGTTGAAGTTTAAACTTGATTTGTACGATATTTATTTCAAATTATTTCACAAATACACATATACATAGTTATCAGTTGAAAGCAAAAACAACAAAAGCACGAAAACATACAGAACAACGTAAACTAAAAATAAACATTCTCTGCAATACGTAATAAGTTTACTAATATTATTTGACATGTTCATTATCATATATTTTTATTTGGCATATTCTAAAATGATAAATAGAAATATTTTATTAATTATCATCATCATGAAGTCGTATCTTACTTGTCGGATAAGTAAAAGTAATTGATTTTCTTTTTCCAATTGTTCAAGTCTTTGATTAATATCATCGTTATTCAAAGAAAGAATATATTCAACAGTATATTTTTCAAATAATTCATCAACAAATGATTTTTTTTCTTGTTGAAGATTTTTTATTTGTTGAAGTAAATTTGTAACATCATCATGAAGTTTAGTTAAAACTTCATTTGTATTCGGATCATATGATTCATTATTTTGTTCATGACATAAATTTTTTGTTTGAGTATTTAAACGTTCATAATCAGCTTGTAAACGTAATAATTCATCATTATTTATTCTTTCAATTGATTGTATTGGCGGAGATATAAGCGACTGAACTTCACGTATTAATAAATTATTAGCAGTTTTAAGACGAGTTATATCAGTATCTTTACAACGTTCTTGTTTAATAGTTATTTTTGATGATAATGCTGTTGAAGATCGACTTTTTTTATTACGACGTTGTTCAGAATCAGTTGAAGATTGTTGACGACGTTTTGTATCAAATTTCGAACTTTGTTTTGATGATGATGATGATGGTTGAAGTTTATTATCATCATCATGAGTGATATATTTTCGAACATTTATCAGCATTTTATTGATTGTATGTGGTTTATCATTGATTAATTGATCAACTCGATCGTAATCAGCTAGAAAATATAGTTAGTACGATACATCATAATTAAAATAAAACTTACCAAATGTTAAATGAGCACATGGTCGATTATAATAAGTATCAGTGCGACATGTACGAATTGCACCATATTTAGAAAAGTAATCACTAAATACGATAGATAGTTTTTCGTGTTTTATTCTAATTAATTAAAAATATCTACCGAAGAGAATCTTCATTAGGTACTTGATTATCAGTTGAATCATCTGATGATGTTATGAGAATTTCACTTGTTAATCTCCATTCTTCATCCGAAGGTATACATCGTCTTACTTTTACTAGAAAATTTTTTAAAGAAAAACATGTAATTTATTTCTAAGAATTTTTTGATGGTTTACCTGATTGACCATCAATACGATGAGGACGATCATCCATAAAACGATTGACTGAATGTTCTTGCTTATATACAACATTATATCCACGCATAATACCTTGAGGATTAATTGCAATACGACAATAATTAACTTGTCCATATGTTTCACAATAACTATTTACCATTTCTTTTGTAGTTGATGAACGTGTTCCACGAATTAATACGCAAGAACGAATATCGCTTTGGGGTATGTCCATATTTATCAGTTACTACTTTCTCTTCAATCTGAAGAGATAATTGAATATTTTCATATAGAAATTCTCAGTTAAAAATTGTATTTTATCTTTTGATATTTTTGTTTCAAATTACAAAATTTATTTATTTAAAAAACAGTAATAAAAATTAGTATAATTTACTATTTCTATTCATTGAATAATACAAATAAAATAACAAAAAAAAGAGATTCTTCAATAATTCGTATCAAACAATATCTGAACATTGATTGTATTTGTTACACAGAGGAAAAAGTATCGTATTAATCCAATACCTATAAGTATAAAAATAAAATAGTATCAAAAATAACAATGTATATAAATTCTCTCAGATCTAATTTGTTGATAGACTACTTATGAGATAATATCTTTCCCTATATATAAAATCTTCTTTACTTATCTTTAATAAGAAAAATTCTTGTTTTCCTGTTTAAGCGGCGGCTTACTTCTACTAATAACTGTTTTTTTTTTTCTTTAAAATCTGCCTATAAATAACTGATGCCAAACCATATTCTAATTTGCCATTCTAAATAAAAGATTTCATAAATACTATTCTTGATAATCTGTTCTAATACAGACTGTTTGTATTAGAAGAAGAAAACAAAACAAAAGATAAAAATATTAATTTAAACTTAAAAGATACAATATTAAATATACATACCAAGTTATACTTTGATACTTATTCTGTATAAATAACACTTCCCATTAATAGATGTTTGAGATTTTGTGCATTCTGATGCTGATTCGCCTAAGCGATTTGTCATCTAGACTATACGATATACTTGTAACCATAGTTTCTCTTTCGTAAAAGAGAAAGACAGTATGTGTGTGTGTGTGATAATATTCATTCTTTCACTGTGCATCATATGTAAAATATATGAATATACACTTACTCTAAATAATATAGTCTATAAATTCACAAAACACAAGCAAAACATAAAGAAGCACTTTCTTCAGAAACATAAACGACTTTTATCTTGTTTTCTGTCAAAACTTGAATACTTATGAACCTACTAATATATGAAGCATGCAATACAATCAGTTCTATATATATAAGGTAACAAGCATAAATATATCGTAATATCTTAATCGATATTCCTATAAATAAAATAAATACATACTTTAAATGACTATTTATCATAAAACTATTCCGATATCTTAATACTAATATATCTGTACTGATTCAAATATTAATTGCCCAAAAAAAAAAGAATCATTGTTAAAATCTATCTTCTAATTCATAGTATGTATAAACTATATCTTAACATATATACTAATATGCTTAGACTTAATAATAATCGTGAATTATAAATTTCGCACATGTATTTAAGAGAAACAGGCACAAAAGAAAAAAACATGGTGACTTATACAACTGAATGTGAAACACGACAAGAAAAAAAGGAAAACAAAAAAAACAAAACACATTAGGAGATTTTCTTATTTGTCTTGTTCTTTATAATTTCATTCTAGAGCGAAATATATTGTAACTCTAACTGATGTTATACAGCTATATACATATGAAAAAATACATATATGCTTTTTTTTTGTTGAATATATATTCGTATAGCTGTAGTCTTGCTTTTTTGCTTTAAAGTAATTCTAAGGAAAGGGAACTTATTTTAGAGTATATTATTAGTTTTGTTTAGAACGATGACGACAAAAGATATAAGGGCAAGTGAAATAGAAAACTACAACAAAAAGATATCGAAAGAAAAATGCTTTACACACGTCCAATATGGATGTCATTTATTTTGAATATTTCTTCCAATTTCTCCTTAAACACATACCACACTTGAATTTTTATTGTCCACGGCCACGACCGCGACCACCGCCTCGGCCACCACCACGACCACCACCGCGCGATGGATAAGGAGCTGGTCGATTACCATAGCCGTTATCGCCACCTGAAGGGCCACCAAAATTACCACTACCACCACCGCCGCCACTTGAAGAAAAAATAAATATTTATATCATCAAAATAATAAGAAAATTAATCATATTAATTTTAAACATAGACTAGACTTACCCTCGTCCACCACGCATAGGGCCACCACCACGAGATTGTTGTGATGGCATATTATTATAATTTCCACCGGCATAATTTTGCGAAGTAATACCATATGAATTGGAATTATCGAATGGCGTTGATGTTGATGAAGGATTATTATAGCCTCCACTTCCGCTAGTTGGTGGTTGTGGTAAACTAAATGGATTATTCATGCCACCAAAATTGTTTGGATTATTACCGAAACCTTGTTGTTGATT